TTCTTTCAGTTTACGTTTCTTCGATAAGAGATCTTTCATGAACTTTGCGTAATTCGGCATGTTCTCCAAGGCTTCAGCAAATGGAATATTGATTTGTAGCTTTTTGAAGATGTCAAGGAACTTCGAATACTGCTGCTTTTTGATTTCCTCTCTGAACCTCTGCGGATATGGAATTTTTGCATAAGGTGAGAGCTCCAATGGCTTTTCTTGTCTTTCTTGAGCTTTCTTTTTCTCCCATTTGAACTCTTTCTTTTCTGGAACAGCTTTCTCTGCAGTAGGCTCTTTGTCAACTTCTTTCTCTTTTTCTTCTTCAATGGCAGGTCCCTCAACTTTCTTTTTCTCTACTGAAGGCTTAATCACAGGTTCAATTACAATGCCACTTCTAGTGGTAATGGCCTTGCAGTGTGCGTTTGGATTAACGTCTGTATTACTCGGGAAAGTGCCTTGGGTTCTTTCATTGAACTGCCTTGACAATTGACCGATCTGGGTTTCAAGATTCCGGATAGAGGCTTCTTGATTCCGGAATGAGGCCCTGGTCTCCTGCATAAAGGTTGAAGTGTCTTCCCTGAATGCATTGGTACTTTGAACGTAGTCTGATGTGGTCTTGGATAGTTGTGCAAAGGCTTTCTCCCACTCTGATTGTTGTGGAGGTTGCTGTGGTGCTGGCATAGGAGGATTTAGCTGATGATTCGAGCTATAACTGAATCCTGGATGTTGATTTTTATTTCTCCACCCTTGATTCTGGTTATTGCCGTATTGGTTCCTCCCTGGATTATATGGAACTTTCTGATCATGCCAAATTCCATTAACATCTGCAGTTTCGGGTGCCTTGCAGTCATCAGTAGTATGAGCACCTGCGCAAATATCACAAACAATAGAAGAAGTATTAACATGAGCTACTGAAGTATTAGAAGAAACTTGAAAATCAGAAAATTGCTTTGTGAGAGCATCTAGTTGTTGTTGCTGTTTCTTATTAGACTGTAAGATCTGATCATTCTGGGCCAAGATGGCATCATAGCCATCAAGCTTCATAATCCCCGCTCTTCTCTGTGGTGCGGGAGCATTATCATACTCCTGAGAGGCTAGAGACTCTAGTAATTCCAAGGCTTCCTCTGGAGTTTTTGTCTTCAAGGACCCTCCTGATGCAGCATTCACCACTGTTCTTGTGTTCGGCGTCATCCCTTGGAAGAAGGTTCTCGCTTGCTCCCAGGCTTCAATGCCATGTTGGGGACACTTCCTGAGCAATCCTTTGAATCTTTCCCATGCTTCATATAGAGATTCACTTTCTTTTTGTTCAAAAGAAGTGATATCCGCCTTAAGCTTCGCCATTTTCGAAGATGAGAAAAATTTGTCCAAAAATTTGGTTGCCAAGTCGTCCCAGTGGGTGATGCTTCCTTGAGGTAACGATTGCAACCATCCTCTTGCTTCGTCTTTAAGTGAACATGGGAACAATCTGAGCAAAATAGCATCCCGAGACACCCCATTCATCTTCAAGGTATCACAATATAGCAAGAAGTTTTCCAGATGGATGTAAGGGTCTTCAGTGCTTCCTCCGGCAAATTGGTCTTTCTGAATTAATTGTAAAAGTGCCGGCTTGAGTTCAAAGTTGTTAGCATCCACGTTTGGTCTAACAATACTCGCCGTCTGTGGAACTCGAGCAGGAGTCATGTAATCTCCCAACGTTCTCGGAGGTGGTGGAGGTACATTGTTGTCTCCCATTGCTTCTTCTCTTGGTTCTGTTGAGCTTGAAGCTTCTTTCTCTTGTTGTCTTCTTTCTTTAGCAAGTTTTCTGTTTCTTTTTGCTGTTTTCTCTATCTCCGGGTCGAATTGCAAGGAATCGGTGTCAACGGTACCTCGCATAAACCAGAAAAAATAGATTATATAAAATAAGAAAATAAAACTGAATTTAAATAACAGAAAATTAAATAACAGAAAATAAGGTCCAATCTAAAGAATTAATAGCTACTATTAATGTTGAAATAGTAATCCCCGGCAACGGCGCCAAAAACTTGTTGCTACTCACGGCAAGTGCACCGATCGTACAAGTAATATATGATTAAGTAAGAGATCGTTCCCACGAGGATTACGGTTCAATCACTAATTCACTATCACAAACTTAGTTGGACAATCGAAAGTGTATTTGGAAACAGGATTTGAATTGCAAAATTAAAATATTAAATATTAAGCTAATTACTTGCAAGAATTAAAGACAAGAAATTAAAGATGTGATTTAACTAATAAAATAAAAACGTAGCTAGGGGTTCGATTTCATTTAATCTCCTTATTACGTTTGAATTCCTTCTTAATGTTAATTGTCCTTAGTATCAATCTAATCAATTCTTTCGCATGTTATTAGAGCTCAATCCCTTGTTACTCTAAAACCTTTACAATATTGGAAGAACCCTAGTTCCCCGGTTATTCCCCAAGCATGCAAGCATTAAATTCAAGAATCTTAAAGATTACGCAAACCCTATGTCTATCCCTAGAATCATAACGTTTACGATGAAGTTATCAGATATGGATCACACACCAACATTCCTATTGTCATGCATTCACCGATGATCATTATATAAGATTCAAGCCTATATAAAGCATTAAAAACAGATAACTTCATTCATGATATAAAGGAAAATTAACACAGCGAATTGTTCAAAACATAATAAATCGACTAAAATCCATCTAACCCTAACTACTTAAAGAACTAGCCGGACATGGCAAAATCAAGAAGAAAAGAAAATAGAAAAGCTCCCCCAAACTCCATAAGTGATTGGTGGATCTTCAATATCTCCAGTGAACACTTGACGTTGATCCGTCTCCGCCGCTCACGAACATGAATCTGATGTTTCTCCGCGTTCCTTCAGCCTCCAAGCACCCAAGGGTTGTTTAGCAATGTAAAAGTTATGTATTTCTGGTCCCCAATGGCCCTTTTATTGGCCAAGAGTTCGTATCCTAGTAGAAAACTCGAATGGGCCTAAGTTGGATCTGTCTGGGCGCTTAAGCCTGTTGTAGCGCGCTTAAGCGCCCTAGGACAGTGAATTCTGACTCGCGTTGAGCGCTGAGGCGCTCTGAAGGGTGCTTAAGCGCGCTCCTCGCGACAACTTTTTCTTCTTGTGGCGCGCTTAAGCCCTGAGTTGGGGGCTTAAGCGCCCAGAGGCAGTAGCTATTTGCGTTTTTAGGGAGCTTAAGCTTCTGAATGGGGGCTTAAGCTCCCACTTCTAACAACTTGATAAGATCCTCAATCTTATTGTTTTTGATCTTCTTCTATCATCTCTTGATCTTATCTTTTCTAGTTGTGATCTCTATTTATCCAATCTTCATCTTTGACTCCTTTTGTCAACAAATCCCTAAAAAATAGCAAAGATGATTCCATTAAACAAAAATTCAGATAATGTTCATGATTATTATATTAAACCCTAGTTTTTGACTTATTTAACTTGATATTTTATATTAATTTAGTCTATAAAATAAGATAAACTAAAGGTTTATCAAGGTCCTAGGTGGATGTGTACCACTGCCCCCTCTATCATCGTTATTTGCACTCAAACTTATGTTTTTTTTATAAATAATATCAAAGAACTTTTTTTTTTTTTTGGTGAGATGAGGACTTAATATCAAAGAACTTGTAAATTAGTTTGAGGTGACTTGCGAAGCATATCGGAATTAATTTCGGCTTGCTTCATGTAAAACCAAATCTTTAATTGACAAATTAAAAAAAAAATCTCGATTAATTCTATGCATATCATATCAGTTATACCAATTTATATTTATCATTACCCTATACTAATTGAGTTCATTCTTACTAGATAATCTTATATAATCGATTGATACATTTTCGGTGAAAAAGAGATTTGATAATTCTTTTTCCTCCGCAATGAATCGATGAATTCAGTCTAATCTTTACAAATCTATTTCAAATGACGTTTTATATTTATTTATTTTCATAGTACACTACTACATTAATTTGTATATTGTACGTAGATTGGTCAAGTTGTGATTTGTTAAAATTAAAATAACTAATATTTAAATTTAAATAAATCCAACTATATACTAGAATTTGACCTGGCCAAAAAGTAGTGGATTCGATTCTTGAGAGTTGCAACTGCTTGAAGTAGTAGAGAGACTCTAACCCGAAATTTGATTAATTGGATTAGTTAGAGCTTCAGACATTATTAGGGGTCTTTGCGGTTTAGATTGGATCAATTTTGAAGCAAAAATCATCTGATTCAATTCTTTCAGTTTGATCATTTAATCATTCATTTGGTTTAATTTTTTTTTTAAATCCGATCCAATTTTATTTAGTTTGGATTGGATCAGTTTTTCATTTTTCTTAAGTCTAAAATTTCAGTCATATAAATCACTAGCTATATCAAAATAAAATCATTCAAAATTACAAATCACAGAAAAATTTAAGTTTTCAAACTAAAACAAGTCTTAAAACTCATGAGGAGTTAAAATAGATTAATAGACAATAAAAAATTAAAACAAGATAGTTTGTGATCAGTAACATCCAAGATTCCAAGTCTATAAAATAACAAAATTCCAAGTCACCATCTTTCGAAAATAATAAATACATAATATATTGATCGGTTTTCACCAACCAAGCCAAAAATCGATCCAATCAATTAAAATATGCGATTTTTTTTCCGGGTATCGATTTTTTGATTCAATCACCACAATTTGAATCGGTTTGGATCGGTTGATGAACAACCCTGGATATTATGCTATCTAAAAAAATGTTTAAATCGTTTATGTAATTGTTATTCATTTATCATCATACGTACAAAATGTTTAATTTCTTACCATTAGTAGGCAAAAACAGCAGCTACATGTTTATTACTGGCAACTGAGAAACATAAAAAGGAAACAAACACACACACACACTTTTTATTACTGCCATCTATTGGTGGAATTCGATGACTATGCACCTAATTAACCAAACCATACAATTAATATAAATACTAAGAACACTGGTTTGGATAAAATAGCAACTCATAGCAAACCTAGCCACTGCCCCCAAAAATACCTTTAAGTTTTTTCACTTGGGCAGGATCAAGGAAAGTAGTCCTTGACACCAAAGCAGAATCTAATTTACTTCCAAACAATGCAAGATCAAGGATCTGTGCCCCAGGATTTGGGCTACTAAAAGTGAGAATAGCCGCGGCTTTCGCTTTTCCTCTGCCAGCATTGATTTGAAAATGCAACAATCCTTGTGGGAAAATCATAATATCCCCTTTTATCAGTGACTTCACAAAAACGGTGTTATCTGATGATATAAACCCTGCAGTTATGTGACCTTGCACCATTACTAGTAACTCAGAGGCACCTGGATGAGAGTGCATTGGGATTAAACCACCAGCTTCCATGTCTAACCTTGCTGCAGAGAATCCAAGCCCATTAACACCTGGAAATTGATCAACAAATGCTGGGGTTAATGAAAATTTTAAAAAGTTTGAGGTGTTTCCAGCTCTAAAGTGTGAAAACACAAAGTCATCCACTGTTAGTGATGCTGGTGGCTTGCATGGATACCCTGCAGGGCTTTCTGCACCCTTTAGGTCTGCTACACAGAAATCTAGGACAGAAGCAAGGGAAGTTGGTAAGAGAAAAGCAAAGATGAAAATGATACGAATCATCTTTGATGAATGGTATTGGTATGAATTGGGAATGTGGGATTGAAAAGGTGTTATATACTGCATTAGTGATAAGAACTATTCATGCATGCTTGAGCCTTAAGATATGGTAATATATATATATATATATATATATATATATATATATATATATATATATGGGCAGGTTATATTTACAAACTTTTTTATTTACAAACTCTTACAAACTACACTAAGTACGACCGTTCATACTTTAATCATGTAGTGTACGACCGATCGTACTTAGTGTAATTTACAAAAAAAAATTATAAACGGATCCTATCTCATATGTATATCACCGTAGCTGTAAATGCAAGTCCTTCAAGGAAACTTCAAACACATAGAACTTGACTCAAATTAGGCACTAACTTTTAATCACACCCATTCATTTTCTTTTCTCTCTCTCATCAATAATATTTCCTTGTTATGTGTAAAGTATGTGTTAGACCTAGACGTACGGACCCCTTCTCTGCAACTGCACTCTTCCTATATCGAAAGTAAAAAATCTCTCCACATGTATTAAATCTTCATTTCCAAATAAAATAAATGTAATTAAAAAAAATTGTCATGTGTGAGATATGCATAATCTTAAAAATTTAATTTATCAAGAAATTTCCTTATTACACACTTCATGTGTATTGAAAAATCATAAATAGTTTTATTGAGGAACATTAGATGTACTTGGTCTATATACTACTATAAAAAGAGGGTTTTCATTTTAGTATTTGACTTTTATCAAAATATAATTATTTATTTATAAGTAAAAGTATAAAAATATCATAAACACTCTTTTATCTTGTAGTAAAAATAATTGTCTGTCTATTATTTTTAAAATATTATAGGAAAATTATACTTTTATGTTGCATGGGATTTATCTCTCATGTTACACTCACATAAAAAATGTGTCTCTCTTTTTTTTAATTGGTGGATCCCACTTTATTTGTCTAACAATATAAAATAACTTCTCCCTTACTATATTACAGAAATAAAGCCCCATATTATATTCTAAAACATTTAAACATAACTTTTATATTAGTTTACTTCACAGATAACATACTATTTATTTCTTAAGGCTTTCCTTGATAAGTGCATTATGTGTGCTAGATCCGAGGTCGTTAGACTTAAACATTGAAAGTATTACTATTAATATGAAGATTTGACTTAACGTAAACCCATACGTTGATAGTATCTTTTATTAGTTTAAATTATTCACAGATCTAGCCGTTTAATTTGTAGTACATTGGGTTGACTGAAGTGAGGATTTCAGTTAAGTAAAATATTGGGTTTAAGTTCTTGTGAATGCAAAAAAAATTATTATGAGAGCTACCTCATCATGATGTAGATATTCTCAACTCCGAACAGAATTATATCGTATGAAATATACTTATAGTTTATCCAAAAAAAAATTATGGTATACTAATTTATTCATTTTTAAAATCAATCTTAAGAGAGGTAAACAGTTTTGATTTGTGTGGCTTACTAGTAGCCCAATACAGAGCCCATACTTTCTTATCAATGTAAAGCCCATTAAGTGCCATTGGCGTCTACTGCAAAAGGCCCATTTGGTCCGAAGTACATGCCTTCGGAATTTTGGCAAGTTTCCGCTCCCGTTTGGGTATAGATTCATTTCCTAAGTTTAATGATATTATAATATTTTCAATTTACAATTACATTCATCTTCATTATTTGTGTAGTTTAGGAAAAAACTTCACGAAGGAGTTTCCGTATCAGAAGAAAAAAAAATACATGGATATCAATCCTACATGTGATTTCTGTAAACTATACGAACTAGAGTGTAAATGAGATAAGTCAAGTCAGACTTTAATTTAAATGAGCAAGGTCTATGTAAATTATTTTAAACTTGTCTTGCCTTATTAATATGATACAAACCAAATTATAAGTTGCCTGATTTCTTTTTAAAAAATACAATGTTGACTAACGAAGCCTAACAAACCTTTAAAAATAATATATTGCACTCTATAAATTATATATTGTAATTACTTTTTATCAGTCCGGTACAATATGGGCAGGCCTATATATATTGGGCATAATCACACACGGTTGAAGAGTGAAGAATTTAAGTTGAGTAATATACTTCTTGGGCTGGTGATGGCTGCTGGTAGGGGTGTTTGCGGTCTGGATTGGATCGGTTTTGGAAGCAAAAATCATCTGATCCAATCCCTTCGGTTTGATCATGTAATCATCCATTCAGTTTGATTTTTTTTTCAAATCCGATCCGATCCAATCCAATTTTTTTCGGTTTGGTTTGGATCGGTTTTCGGTTTTTTGAAAATCCTAAAATTTATTTCATGATTATTGTGCAAATAACATCTTTTGTATATATTGACTTTGTAATTTTATTTTTTTAAATATAAAAACATCGTTAAACGATAATATAGTTTTTTTCTTTTTTGGCAATGAGATATGAAGCTTTACACAAATTAAATTTTGTTAATGAGATGTGACTAGGCTTTTTCTTGGATTTAGTTAATGGGTTAATGAGTCTTTGGTTTAGAAATTTTTGGGCTATGATTGAGAAAAAAAACCCAAGTAGGTAGAGGAAAATTAATATATTGGATCGGTTTGGATTGAATCGATTTTCATTGACCAATCCGAAAACCGATCCAATCCAATTAAAATTTGCGGTTTTTTTTTGTTTTCGATTTTTCGATTTTCGGTTTATTCGGTTATCAATTTTTCGGTTCGGTTATTGCGGTTTGAATCGGTTTGGATCGGTTGATGAACACCCCTAGCTGCTAGGTAGTGAATTGATGTTGATCTCCCTTGGTGCAATGACTCTAGCTGGGGGATACCTACAATGACACTCCGACGCTCAAGTCAGTATCAAAGCTAGACTTATGCTATATTCTTACTGGAATTAGATTATTGTACTTGGGTGTGTACCCTTTGTTTATATAGTAAGTTTGATTTCACCTTTTGTAGGTGGTATATCTTCTGATTGGCCGTTTAAGGGCTGCAGGTTTATATGTTATCAGCTGGTACCTTTCTAGCTATACATCTATATATTAGGCTGTCATCTTAGGGTGGTGGCAAGCTGGAACTGTCTTTAATGTCTTGGCTTAGGGCGCGGAGAATCTTTGTCTGTTTATAGAGTCCTTCCTTATTTTTAAATTAAGTCACATGAGTTGGTTTAGGCACAATAAATTTATTGGGCTTACTGGTCCTTTGCGCGTAGAGATATCGCGTATTCCATGGGCCCCGTATATACTTGGGCCTATTCTTTGGGCTTTAACTCTTTATGGGTTTAAGGTAGTTTATCCATATCACTTTTATTGAACACCAAAATATTGACAATATAACTACATTATTAAAAATAAAAAAACAATCAATCGAATCAAATTGTAATACAAAACAAAAAATATGGAGAATAAGGACTTGCTAAGATATCCACCAACCAACTTATATGAGAATTTACGAAGAAAATATAATTAAATAAATAAAGAGAAATAATTTAAAAATAAATCTCACACATAAACATATGCCAACAAGCACAAACAAAGTATGTAAATGCATAAAACACACATAAGTCAAATACTATTTTTTTTCAAAGAAATTTTTGAAAAGAGTCAATTTTATCAATTGTGAAAGTCTTGAGATGGTGAACGATGAATGGTTTGGAAAGTATAAGAAATTTAGAAGAAGGCAGAAAAGTAGCGAAATTTAGCAGAAAAGAGGAGAGTGGCGGGTAAGAAATTTAGGATTAAGAAAAAATGTGTTTACCAATTGAAAACAGAAAAGTTTGTGAAAAATTAGAAAAATTTAAAAAATAATAAGATTTTATGTTATTAAAAATAACAACATAAATAACAAAATATTATTTTATTGAAAAAAATATTATCTTATTAAAACAAATAATAATATATAATTTTATTAAAAAACAATAAAATATTATTTATTAATATACATTAGTCTGGCACAAAGGCTTAGAGCTCAGACGTGCTAAAATAGGCTCGTGGCATGATTTCTAGGTAAGTTTTTTTTTTTTTAGTAATCATTGATGGTCAAAGACCCAAACAAAGGACAAAAGAAAAAAGATAAAAAAAAACAAGATAACATGAAACGAAAGTAAAACAAAATAAAAACTACGTGTTGCGATCATCAGCCCTGAGCTGCTCCAGACCCCGGGGGGTCGTGTTAAAAATTTGGAAGTCTTCCTCTTAGCCACATGAGCTAGCCAATTTGCACATTTATTAGATTCCCTCTTAGCATAAACAAAACGAATGTGCCAATCCTTCCTAGTCCATTGTCTGACCCTGTTAATCAAGTGAAACTCTGTAAAATACGATTGTGTCTGCTTAAGCTGCTTACTGATATCTAAATTGTCTCCTTGAACTATCAAATGTGAAATCCTTTTAGTCCAGCAGTATTCCAGACCCTTTAAGATACCCCAGACCTCAGCATCATGGGCGGAACAATATCCGATTCTGCAAATATTGTTAGGATATTCAAGTGTGATGAGTAGCTTAGCTCATTGGTGGTGGCTTTCCACCACGGGCTTCTCTCTGGACCCGCCTGACAGTGGTATCAGAACCGGGTTGAGCTCGAGCTAGTCTTGTGATTGACTAGGAGGCGGGTCAAGTACTTTGCGCTTCGGTACTCGGTTGAGGGAGAGTATACCAATGGTGGGTTTCACACCTGAGGAGGAGATTGTTAGGATATTCAAGTGTGATGAGTCTCGCATTGGTTAGTAATGGGCTAAGTGAAGAGTATATAAATGGAAGGGACCCAAGAATCTAATGCCTTAAGGTTTTGGGTTGAGACATGGTGTCGGATCCACTTGCTACAGTTGGTGTAGCCTTAGCTCATTGGTGATAGTCCTTTGCCACAGATTTTTCTCTGGACCCGCCTGACAAGCATAACCTCCAAAAAAAAAAAAAAACAAGGCAAACTAAAACAGTGCAAAGGTAAGCTAAACCTTAGACCCCTAAAGCTGCTGACCCATTTATACCCATAAGTCGAATAAAGAG